CAGTCACCCTGGAATGTACTTCGAATCGTCTTGTTACTCTGTTCGTGTTACTGTGAATTTACTTATCAATTTGTTAACAATGTATATTTTTATGGCTTTACTGTTTTACCGGTACCTCTGTTTATTATTACGTTATTGCACCAACATTACCGTTTTTAACGAGAAATCTTGTATATCGTATGCTTAATCTTTTAATTAATGTTCAACGCGTCGAATCCACATGTCAAATGTAAGTCCACATTTTTGTTCATTTATGTCAATCACGGCCTTTTTATAAAATTGTTAACCTCCTATTAATTTTTGTAGCAAATAGCTGATGAGGGACTCTATGTCCGAAATGCATTCTGAAAATAAAATAGTGTTTTTCCAAATCTAACTTGATGTCCTGTGGTGGTGTAATAAGTCTAGAAGTAAAGTAAAGCCAATCTTAGCGCTCACTAACCATTGAGAAGACTAGACAAGAAGCGTATCATAGCAAAATTATTATATTTTACAGAAATTTATAGAAATAAGTTTAACCTATAGTTTCTAGTTTGCATTCAACTAAATATTCAATTAATGTAATTTAATACAGTGCTTATTTTAAATACAGACAGAAAAATGATATATGCACATAAATATTCATCACTTCGTTTATTTTTCATGACGTTCTTCCATAGAAGAAATTTCATTACAAACTTAATATATATATTTCTTTTGGCACATAAATTCCAGATTTGATATTTTGAACAATATTTTATATTTAATAAACTTACAGAACATCACACATACATAAATACATTCGATTTTTACAAAGGGACAATAATATACTACCCAATTATTAAAAGTCGGTCTGCAACAATTAAACCGACTTTCAGAGCTGTCTGAAGGGCTGTGTACATATATAAACGTCCATAATAAAGATAATACAGACAATACTGCTGAAGATACCGACATTTTACCTTAATATACTTTATACCTTGTATGTATATATAGACTTTCACATCTTTTTAAACATCTTTAACTTAAATAACAAGTTGAGCGTGTAATGTATATCTTGTTCTAAAATTCTACGTGTTCCCAATTTTACAAATTTTCATTTTAAAGGCAGTATTTTTATTAAAATCGTCAAATTCATTATTGCGTCGATCCTTCAGCAGTTGTCAACACAATATTTATTATACTATCACATTATTGTCCAGCACAGTATCACTCTAGAGAATTAATAGAGAAAAATATTACTTTGGAATATACGAGTTCGCTAATATACTGTATTTACATACAATATATTCAAAGGTATTTGAATATGAATAAAATGACTAGTATATTGGGAAAAATAATTTAAAAAATAAAATATTAATGCTAAATATAAAATCTCGATATGTAAGAGAATCATTAAAACAAGAAGATAAAACTATAATCACTTGATTTTTCAAGTTGTTGCGGGTATCGATATTAGAATTAGTACGAAAGTGATTTACTTAAAATTTATACTACTAACATCTTTACAAATCTTATTATGTTCAACTTTGTTAAATTCAATATATTATATAGTTATATATATATATATATTGTAATGTATAAATTGTACTATACATATAAAAATTCTGCTATCAACTGACTATTCAGTGCAAGTGCAGATAGCGACAAAGAGGTTGCTGAGATATGTAAAAAAATCTTTCATTTTCAAAACTTGTAACATACTATTATATATAATTTTATTTCAACATCAAAGCACTCCAAATTTAATATTCTTTTACAGTGCACAACAATTTGATTATTGAAAATTTCTTTCAAAAATTGAATTTATAAATAATATATATATATTTATTTATATACAGTATAATTAAATTGTTACATAGAAATATTAAATGCAAACTTTATAATTCCATTTTGTATTTTCAAAAATATAAATAATTTTTATTAAAGTGATAAATTAACTGAACAATATTAAATAGATAAAAATATAAAAGCAACTTCATTGCAAAAAATATTCTTACTTTGGTATAACAATAATTTATTTCATTTATAAATAATTTAACATCATTAATGTTCTTATAATAATAAATATAACAGATATTTTAAAAAATTTCAATTTCTGAATATATAATCAAAACTAAATATAACATAATCATATTTAAATAACTTTTTAGTTTTTCTCCTAAACTAAAAAAGTAATCTTGATATTCTGTTTTCATTAAAAACAGTACAAATTACAATCTATAAACAATCTATTGTCGTCATAATACATGTCAAATCCTTTCTTTTTGAACCCATTAATCATATTTTACTTTTTAATTATTTTCAAAATTATGAAAAATGAATGCAAAAAATCATTCAGTTCCATATCTCTTACAATTATATGGAAGACTAGCCATCAAAAATTGCTTCCGGTCGTATTTGATGTATACAAATATTTTTAATACAGTTCAACCATTTAAATTATCCTCATGACTCCGAGTTGTCATGCCTTCTCTGGAAGAATGACGCCATCTAATCGAAGAATGGACATCTTCAGATATTCTGCCATCGATATCCACTGAAGAACTATGTCCTGCTGGTCTGTGCTGTAGTCTATCAGTTGTATGAAGACAGTGTAAACTGCTAGAATTCCTTTTTCCACTAACACAATCTTGAGAAATGGAAAGGCCTGGAGCACCTAGATTAATGATGATGGTCTTATAGACTGCGCTTCCACAACTATCTTCGCTTCCACTACTTGCACTCTCTTCCATCACGGATGATCTCGCTTCTGCTACACTGTCTTCACTTCTAGACATGGAACTTAATACTTGTTCTTTAGTGTCCACAGATTCAATCTCTGAATATAAACCATCCGCACTATTAGAACGATCATTTGCATTTTTCCTACACACTCCATTCGATTGATTCAGAGGAATGCGAGTCCGATCTTGCGGATAAAATTCGTTAAATGGATATATCACCGAAATGTGGCATTTTTCAGCGTTATTTAGTTGCTCTCTCCAATCTGTGTAGTTAGCGTCTTTAGAAACGTCATCTTCTGGAGACAGCATAGACATTAAAGTATCCGATCGAACAAATCGCTGTTTTAACAATGATAAAAGAGATTCTAATAAATCGTCCGATGTCTGGATGCTTTTCTCTGATTTTCCATTACGAATATTCGACTGGAATGACTCTGGTTCGTCTGTCGTGCCATAAGCCTGTCTAAGAATGCCCACTAATCTTTTCTTATCTTGCCCATCTGCTGATGTGTCATCACCACTCGATGTGCTACGGACAGCGGGCAATTTTCCTATTCCAGGTGGAAATGGTGACGATTCGATTCTTCTAATGTTGCAACGTCGATCCATAGCTTCAGCTTCACGTATTGCTCGAATTCTTTGAGCGATGTTTGCAGCTAATTTATCTCTTTTTCTAATACGAAATCTATGAAATAAATTCAGGCTATTCGATCCTTTTGATACTTTAGCTTGTACAGTTAGAGAATGGTTCCTGAAAATAGAAGAATCTTCACATTAAATGAATATTTAAAATTTTATATATTTTTGTTTTCTCATATAAATTTTAATTCTCCATTTAGACAATTTTTAAGTTCTAAAGTAATATCTATGATTTATCTAAAGTTGAATAGTTTTAAAACTATTGATATTAATGTTTTTACTATTAATTAATTGATAAAACTAATCTAAAATAATTTAGTTTTTAACTCGTCCACTAAGACATATTAAAACTTGTTATATCAAGGAAAGAGGAGTCACAAACACTACAGGCTAACACTCATATCACAGAAATTTATTGTAAAACTTTTCTGTTTCCTGTAACACTTTAGACAAATGTTACAATAAACTTCTGTGATATGAGTGTTAGCCTGTAGTGTTTGTGACTCCTTTTTCCTTGATATAACAAGTCTTAATATAAGTAAGTCTTCGTGGACGAGTTAAATTACTAAATTTATGTAAAGAACAAGAAGCAAATAATATAATCTAAAAGAATATTAATTATGTTATCACAAATCTGCAATTAATATTAGGCCTAAAGTTAAAAGAAATGCATAGGTTACTGAAATTTATGTTTATTCTTAAAAGATAACGGGCTCAATTATTTTATAGATTATAAAATAATATTTTAAAGAATTAACAAAATTAAATATACATTACATTTCGATATTTATTTGTATCAACATTCAATTTTCTAAAAATAGAAAAGGACGTTTTAATAAGGAAATGATTAAAGCTCCAATTGTATTTTATGATCTCCGTTATTGTCCCGAGACAGGAGAAAGTATCAAGGCCATTATTTATTATAGCTTTACAATTCGTTAAGTTTGTCTCACATTACGTAATTTCACATTATACCGGTAATATTAAGGAGTCAATTTATTCTTTAAAAGTACTGTACTGAAAATTTTATTAAACATTCTTTAATTTATTTTAATAGTACAAAAATGAATTTAATAATAATAAATAGAGTTTGTTTCATTTGATATCTGTAATTAAATTTTTTATAAAATACAAAATTGAAATAGTAACGAATTAGCTGTGAAATGAGAAATTGAAAATCTTTATATTTTAAGTCAGTTTTAAGTTTTAATTTATGTTCAAGTGAATGAAGCAGAAACGATATTAAAATATTGATTAATAAAATATTGTAGAACAATGGGAATTTATGCAGCTAATATCGAATCGCTATTTCGGAACTTCGTTTTCTTGTAACAAAAAATATATTTAATAAAACAGAAAAATATATAACTTTATCTTTCAATATATCTTGAGAAAGAAACAAAATTTGTTTTGAAGAAATAATCAAGATTTTATTTCTTAATCAAATTACTTCGGAGAAATAGATCAGTAATAAAATTCAACAGAATTTAGCTATATTTCATTAAGTAATTGAGTTTTCGACAATTTTAATTATTAAAGTTTTCTAATTAATCCTTAAAAAAATATAAACTGATAATTTGCTTAAAATTAAATTATTATTAATTTTTATCTAATTTTATATTATTAATAGAGTCTAATGAAAATTAATTTAATTATATTCATACGATGCATTCAAATGAATATGAAAATAAAAATAATTATTAGAGATTTAAAGTTTTTTCCTGCGTTGTCTAGACAGACATTTCTGTTCACTAGTTATTGCCTGCATCCAAATACCTGGTGACAGAGTTTGTTATTTAAGCCTAAAAGGAAAGTCTCGTCCGTCCATTAGTCTTCATTTCTAAACAATCTGATCTCCGTCTCCATGGGGCCACAAGATTTATACAACCAATCTTCTGTTAAACAGTTCAATAATAAATATTTCTGTATTTAAATAACTTATCGATACATAAAGATATTCATAAAAGGTATATTCAAAACACTGACTATTTTAAATCAGAGCAGTTAAATTATAAAATTATCAGCCAATAGTCTAAATTTAATTTAACTTTTCCCCCCTGCATCAGAGTTTTCAAACAAGTTTAGATTCTTTCGAATTTTTATTTTTACTTTAAATTACTATTAAGTCAGAAAATCACATATACATTAAAGCTATATAAACAAGACTAAAACGTTTTCGACATTTGAATATTAAATTTTCGGTTTAATTTCAGCCCTGTCAAAATTCTTAAGTCTTTGGAGACATAGTAAACGATTTTCTAATCAAATTTTATCTTTCTTCCTAAAGATATTTTTATGAAGGATATCTTTTTCTAATTAAAGGAAAACTGTTTTTGAAAATACTGATAAAACACGGCAAGAAAAATGATAAATAAGTCACTATCATATTTCCGTATTTTATTAATTATCATCAAAGAAATTTGCCTACTTTTTTATTCAAATTTGAAGATTATTTAACTAAAGCTTAAGATGATAAATTAGCCTTCACGTTAAATTTTTTTTTAATTTTTTTTTAAATTAATAAAAATTTGTAAAAATTTAGTTTAATAAGAAAAGAAACGAAAATTTCAACATTATATGCCGTATGTAAAATAAATATAGACTTAAATGTAATATTTTACATTATAATTTTAAATTTCATTTATTTTAGACTGCATAATAGAAACTTATTTACTAGACATATATGACATAAGATGCTTAATAATTATTTCAAGGAAGCTAATTTATAATCATAAATTTGATGTTTTTAATAAAAACAGTTATTAAATCTGAATATTAATTATGACAATTTCATCGATCACGTTATCTTCAAAACACGAACAGATTTGACAAACAATAATGAATTGTTATGGCTTCATAATTATATACTAACTAATTAGCAATGTCTAGTGCTAATGACATCAAAGAGGGAATCTCGAAAATCCCTCATAATGCATCAAATGTTATTAGCAATACTATGCCTTCATAAAACGGAATTCTCTCCGTACATGAATCTTGATATATTATGCTTCTCTCGTTTCTACCGTTTGATCTTTAGCTTATCTATAACTTATGATAAATGGTAAATTTTAACAATATTAAATCAAAAATATAATTTCAAATAAAGATTATACTAAAAGATAAACATTCATTTGTCATAACAGCATATATCTTATATATAAATTTATATTAAAAATATTTCAAACTAATAATTTAAATTTATTTGTGTTGCTGAAAAGGTTCATGTACAAAAAAATTGTCTTTCTTAATTAGATACACAGTTTAATTTCTGTATCACTACAAACTTTTTAAACTTTATAAATTCTTCAAATTTTAAGTCGTCATTTAAAATTTCCTGCTGATTCTTTAAGAAAAATATCCTTTAATCACCACCTATTAAAGTGATTTAAATTTCACTTCGACTTAGCTTATATTAAAGGAATATCAATCTCGATAAAGTGTCTATTGACTTCCTAAAAGGGTCTTCCTATTGTTTTAATGGTTGACTGCACAATAACGTAATTTTGCATAAAAGACTGAAAGAAAATTTCCCCTCCAATAAATAAACATTTATAGGTCAAATTTAAAAATCGATCAATAAAATACAGGCGTTTATTACTCTGATGAAGAATAGATTAAACCCATCTTAGAAATATGACATTTCTGATTTCATTGCATGAAATATTCATTTTTGTATGGAAATTTAAATCAATATGATGATATATTAACTATAGTTTAGTGAATTAAATTAAAAGCTTTTCGTATATCTAGTGCATAACAAAATCAAAAGAAAGAATAATATTTAAATAATGTATCAAGAGAATGCAATATGACAAAATCAGGTCAAATATTTGATTAGAATATCACATAAAAAATAAAGTGTAAGTAAATTTTAAAATTCGCCATAAAAGAAATTTCTATTTTTGTTGAAAAATATCTTCTTTAAAAGAATAAATGCTGGAATTGCATATTAGTGTTTTGTTAATATTACAGATGAAAATAACTTATTTTCATTTTAATTTAATGTAAAATTAATATTTTAATTCTCTTTAAATATAATCCAAATTTCGAACAGAATGAAATAAATTTTTAAAAAAATTTCAGTATTACCGATTTTAAATATCCTTAATTAAATATCTATTTTCATACTTAAAATACTTATATTTAATATGAAAATATATTCGTTATACAACTTTTTTAAATTAGACGAACTAGATACACATGTATTAATGTAAATGTTTTCAATCCAGAAACTTTCTATAATTTTATGCACAGTTAATGTTAAACAAAAATCAGTGATGTATATAACGAAAATCGAGAATTTATATTAAAAAAATTATTTTAAAGTATTTTAATTTAATTTTAGTTAGTTTATTTAATTACTTTACTTCGGTAAATTTTTTTTTAAATTTTATTCAGTTTTAATTTAAAGGAAATAAGTTTAAAAAGAGAAATCTTTCAATGTTAATAGACGTATACATTTATATAAATGTAATTTTTTAATATAGGCTATATTTATTTATAGTTATAATATTTAATTCGTAAAATTTTACCTATTAATTTTAACAAATTATTCAGTTTTACACACGAATGTACTGTACTAGCGGATTTCCCATTAGTAGACCCGGGCATAGAGCCGCAAGAGTTTGGGAACGCAATAATTTTAAATAATAATAATAACAATAAATAATGAAAAATAATTTTATGTAGAAACAATTCATAAAAGAAATTAGTTCAAATTAAAAGCTCAAGTAAGAACAAAATAAGACATCGGTTGAGTAATATTAAAATATGAATATATAGTATTTTACATAAACACAGTGATAGTACTAGTAACGAGTTTTCAATAGCATAGCCCTTTGTTCTTTTGATGTTTAAAAATTCGCAAAAATAATGTCATTACAGAATTAAAATTACAAAATGGAATCATTCGGTATAAAAGTGGCAGTTTAGGAGATGCCACAATTATTTTAAACTAAGTTATATTGTGGATATAGGGGAGTCATATTTCTAAATCCGCCACTACACAAATATCGTGCTAACACAAGTGCAAAAAAAATAATAATGAAAACTTTAATTAGTAATAATAAAAATTTAATATAGGGCAAAAATTTCTGCTAATTTTTTCCATGTTTTTTTTTGTACAAGTTTATCTATTATTCTAACCGAATATTAAATCATAAATACTACAGATCTAGATAACGTTAGATCTACAGGAGAGCGTCGTTATATCCGAAAGCTGGTTATCCGAAACGTCTGTTATCCGAAAGAATTCCAGTCGGCAAATTTAAATTTTCGCTAGTGCTGTGGCGCTGCAATCTTCGGCTATTTCTTGGGCTACTCAAATATTTTACGTTTTTGATACTAAATNTCGAAATTAATCTAAAAACTTTAAATTGACTTTTGTTGGCTTATTTTACATTAATTAAACAAATAATAGTTTTAGTATTTATCGAATAGTTTAATATATCATAAAAATTAACAAAAAATAAATAAATTCAACAAATATACTGTATAAAACAAGTTTATCAGCATTGCTTTAATTTTACATAAATTATAAATTTATACAATGAATAAAATACATTAAAATTGCAAAAAAATTTATAAAATCAGTAAAGAATGTAGTACATGCATTATAATATTATCTTATTATTTAAAATATAAAACAAATTATTTAAAATTAATAGAAATTTTTTAAAAAATTAAAAATTTCAGCCATAATAGATGTAGAAAGTCTTTAAAATGTCATGCTTAATTTGTTGTGATTTTAATTACAACGAAAATAATCATCTATAGAAGTGCAGATCAACTATAAGAACAACTAATAAACACTCATAAGAGAAAGAAATATCCTTACATATACCTGGGTGACTCCACACTGAATTCTGACGTAGAATGCGATGAATTTCGCGAAACTCCAGTGTTGACATATCCAATGTGGCATCTGACATCTTTGGCTGTTGTAAAAGCACTCCTATTATTCTTTTCTGGTCTGAATAAAATTATATAAACTTTAGGACAAAACAATAGGACAAGTGCCACTATAGCACTGAAACTGACACTTAAACACATGGTGATGACTTTGGAAGTGCTACCAAAATATATTGGTATGAACGCTAACCAGATGACTAGAGTGGTATACATAGTAAAACCAATGAATTTGGCTTCGTTAAAGTTTTCTGGTACATTACGGGTTTTTATAGCATAAACAGTACACATGGCAATAAGAAAGAAATCGAATCCTAACGGTGCTATAACTCCCAAAGTTGTGGTATTGCATATGAGTCTTACTCTATCTAAAGAAGGATATGCAAGCATAGAATCGGCAGGTTCCAAAATTAGCATGGCTGTTATTATACTAACTTCCACAAATATTAACAGCCAAGTAATAACAACTTGCGCCATTGAACTCATGAAACGTGGTTTCCGAGTAATAATTTTTTTCTTGCTTCCTGCTAGGATTCTAACTGTTCTCCAAGTCTTCGTTACTAAAGCAGCATACATCATAGCGAAACTGAAACCAGGAAGTACTCTGGAGAGATAGCAAGAAACTTGAGTAGGACGAGCTAAGAGAGGAAAAGTAGTTCCGTGACAGAGAAACATTCCTACCATGATGACATAACAGAGTTCTCGAGTTGAAGACTTCACAACCGGAGTACTGTTATAACGAATAAATACGGCCATAACAAATACTGTGGCTATGAATCCAAGACATGCTATTGACATGGCTACAACTGCCGTAGTATCGGTCCAGTGAATATATTCAACAGAAATTTCATTGCAATCTGAAAATAATAATATATCATTTAGAAAATCATTTATTACGTGAATATTTATAATTTAACCTAACTTATATATTAATATAATATTATATTTAAACACTGTTTTAAAATTCAACATTAGTTGTGTTAAATAAACTATTTTTAAGTAAACAAATTAAATGAATAGCACATTTTAAAAATTATAATAGATTAATTTTATAAGAATCCATTATTTAATCTGTAAAATAATATTTTACAAGGATTATATTTTGTTTTTTTTCTTATTTCTAAATATTATAGGGCCTATACTGTATTTTTTAATGTTAAAATTGTTTTAAAGCTTTCAAATCTCACAAAAGATTGCTGAAGAAATTTGATAAAGTTATCCTTTTAAAACAAATTGAATCATTCCTTTGATAGATGTTAATAAGAATTTATAACATTTTAATTTATTCTACAATTTTATAGAATTACAATTTCGTAAATTATTATTTTTTCTTCAAAAACATTTTGTGATATGAAAATTGATATTTAAAGTAGCGAGTCATTTGTATATTGTTATAATTATTACTACATTGGTTATTTAACGTTTTGAGTAGATTAAGTTAATTTGAATTTACAAGAAATATTATGCGATAATTCACTTTAAATGAATAAAACACTCGAAATTATATTATTTATATTATTAATATTATTTTAAATCAGAGAGAAGTTTTTTTAATAATAAATATACAGGTATTTTTTTTATTTTCGTATCGAGTAATTTAAATTTGTTTTCAAAACTTAAACGAAAGTTCAATTAAAAATAATAAAAGGCTAATTAAAATGAATAATAAAGAATTTTCATGTTTGTACATTAATCAAAACTACAATTTGTAATATTAAAACGTATTAAAAATTAAATAGAACATTTATTGAAAGAGTTAGTTGAATGAACTGTTCGAGATTTAGTAGAAGAAGAAATACAGGACAAAAAAAGAAAAAGATGCTTGATGTTCTGATGAAAGAGACGAGAGCTATATTGAGTTAAAGAATATAAGATAGAGAGCACTAGGCACGATAGCAATGGATATATTAAGGACTGCCTTCTAGAGTAACGTAAAAGTGCTACCAAGAGTTTATATAACCATTACTCTAGAAATTATAGTAAAATATTTTCTTTTAAATTATTTTATTTTTAGCAATAATAGATTAATAAAAATTCAAAAATCCGATTATATCAAGTATATATGAAAAAAAATTGCATTATTTTTTTAAAACTTCAAATCAAAACGAATTATTAATGAATTTATACAACTTACTAGTCAAATTTTCATTTGGCCACCATCCTAAAGGACAGGATGCGCATGTAAATTCGTCTTTTAAATATTCATTTTCTCTGCATTGTACACAAACCCAACAGCACTTTACACTTTCCGACTGAATACTCTGTAAAGATAAGTCAAAATTTAAATTTTCCATTTACAATAAAAATATACTCTGTTGCAAAAACCCGATGCACCTTAAAGCTGCCGTGCAATATTAATCAAATTCTGAGGAGTGTGGAATGATAATAAATAAATAAATAATTCCCTACAATCTCGCAGCGCAAGAATAATCATTAAAGAACAGATTCGTCACAAATGGTGTACAGTACATTAGTAATTTGTAAAGCCATTTCTGACATTGGTCAGTTTGCGTTAATTGACAGAGGTGTTTGCCATTTTCTGATTTGTAATATTTAGGATGAAAATCTTATTTAATGATGTAGCTTTGTGCTGTGATGTAAATTTTTTTTCATACTATTCTAGGTACCATACGTGCAGAACCTGATTAAAATTGCACTCCGGATTTAAAGTGCGTCGATTTTTATATAACAGAATGTATTACAAAATATTAATGTCTTCAAACAATGTGTACATTTGTGCTGTATAAAAGTATTCTGAATAAATTCTTGGTTTCTAAAGAAATAGAAACTTATAATAAAATAAAATCATAAATATTTTTATATAAAATTGAAAAATTTTTAAATAATACATTATTTTAAGAACTTCTTAACAAACATTATATATTAATTTGGTATTGCCTATTTTAAATGGCATTGCTAAATTAATACTTTAGAGTTTATTTTCCTTTCATTTCCTTTTAAATTTCAAAAATTCACGAGAAAAATATACAGTAGATTTTTTGAAGACAGCAATCGTTTAATAATTCAGATCATGTTGATGTTTACTTTAATAGAAATAACATATCTAGAGTCAATATTATTTTTCAAATCAACATTTTTATGTTTATCGTTATAAGATATGATGTATTTTTAAAAAGAAACGTAAAAGATTTTAATAATATTTCTCAAAAAAACAATTATAATTCATCGTATGCTGTGCTGATTTATTTAAATAATTCATCGTTTAAAAATAAATATATGAAAATTTAATAAATTTTACATATAAAAATGAAACGAAACCTAACTAACTAGAATATTTTTTAAAATTTACTTTTGCTTGTCCTCGGGGACACGGTTTACTGCAAACAGATTCAGGTGGACCCCCGTCTTTCGACTGAGTTATCCATTGAATTTTACGATGAATTGTTAAATTTCCACTATTCCAAGTACCAACGAGAATGTAATCATAAGAACCATCTTTTAATTTTTGAAAATTCATTATATCGTATCTGAAAGTAAAATTTGAGATTCAATAACACATTTTCGTTTACTTTATCTACATTTAATAATATCATACCTTCCTGGAGGATCTCCGTTAGCATCAAATCTGACAGTTTCGTTCCCCCAGGTAAAGCTAACATTCATTAAATACTGAAGCAAAACAGAACCATTTACTGGCATCATAGCAGAACATAGCCCAGTTTTATTTGGGCAAAGTCCCCTTTGCATGTTATGAAGACCAAATGCCATTGTGTAAATTGCTTTCTTTACAAAAGCCATCTTCGTATCTTGTTTATATTTTTCTGACAAAGATTCACTTCCTAAATTTTCAATATAATAAGATTTTAATATATAAATTATAAATTTGGATAAAAATTTTATAATTGCCTATTGTTATTGATAAAGAGTAGTAGATAATTGTGAAATTTTATAAAACAAAGAAAATTAACTATTTAAGTATATTTCTTAAAACACGTTATTTTAAAACACAATTATAGCATCCACAAAGAAATTAGTAGTAAATTAATGTTAAAATACGAACAAATCAATAATTTTTCTCATTTAAAAATGTATTCAGCAGAGCGTCGATTATCCTAACATGAATTATCCGAAAAATCGATTAACCGAAATCGATTTCAGAGAGTACTAATTCTAGAAATTACAAGGTTTTTACGTAATAACGATTGTTGATTTTCTATAGTCCCGCTATTGAGCTATCTCGTTATTTTATTAATTTTACTATTCATCAGTACTGTGTAGATTACGAGGGAAAAAGTGGTGCTTCCTTTTAATAAATTTGTTGATTATACTCATTTATAATCAATCGTATGTATTAAATTTCTACGCCTTAATCCTTTTTTTTTATATATATTTTTTATTCCTTCTCTACCGAGTGTGATCGGTTGTCCGAAACGGTTGTCCAGTAGAGTCCCGATTATTTTGGAAAAAGTGGTGCTTCCTTTTAATAAATTTGTTGATTATACTCATTTATAATCAATCGTATGTATTAAATTTTTAACATTTAATCCTTTTTTTTAATATATGGTACATTACTTATTTGAAAGGGTTATCACACAAGCTATATTTATTAATTACAAATAATAAGTACTAAATTATATGTTTCGTGTAAATGTTTTTAGAACTGAATATTATTTTCAGAAAATTATCGTTCATATTTTTTATATTCTTATAATAAATAAAAAGAACATAATTGGTACATAAAGAATGTATAACAAGTTTTATAAAATAAACATAATAATAAATAAACGAATCTGTTAATATCATAAAAAAGCTGGCGATGTTACTGCTAGGCTTTCCCGACATTCTTTATTTGTTTTCATCCTAAANACTAATTATTTTATGAATAAATTTAATAATACTTTATCTGATAAATTTGAGAATTAATATGAAATTTAAAAAATTATAAAAAATAAAAATTTCGAGATTTTACATGAAATTGTTTATTTTTAATAAATAATATTAAATTATGATTATACTATAAAATTAATACTTTTTTAAAAAGAAAAAATACAAGTAAAAATATTGAACGTTCTATACCATTTAGCTTAGTCATTTATTAAAGATATTTTATCCTTGAAGGATATTTCAATATTTTTACTATGCTAGATCAAATTGCAAGAGTCTTTTGTGGTTGGAGCACACTAGGAAGCTGAAATGAGACCTATCAATGTACATTATTGCTCTTTTACCATCAATCACAGTGAGCGCTACCGGTTAAGTTCGACAAGACATTTATAGATATTGATGTGCCCCAGTTTCCACAGTTTAGCTAGTATATTCTTATGGCCTCTCGAAAAATGTTCTTTGATCGGGTCAAAATAGGAATTTATGATTGATGGACTTCGTTTGCTATCATAGACTGTTTTGATTCTAAATATAGAGGTGTTCATGTCATAAAGTGTTTGCTGAATGTTTCTTGAAGGTTATGACATGCAGTTTACATTCTGTAAAACTAGCCATAACATATACAGATATATATATATTTTCCATATTTCTAACGGAAAATTACAAAATATGAAAGAAAAGCCATATGTAAAACTGAAATAGGAAAAAAATGAATCTTTTCTTCGAAACAGAAATTCATTTTTTAAATATTAAAGACGCTTTATATTATTATATATTTAATTTAAAATATACGCTAAAATTAATTTTATTATTAAAAAGTATTAGTTAGATCTATGTTTAGATCAATATCAATCTAGAAATTCTGTATTAAAACTAGATTACCTGTACATGTTCGATTATATTTTGATTTGTGCTTTCTATCTGGCAATGAACAGTTGAAACGATGTTCCCAAAATTCTTTAAACCAAGGATTTCGATTGTTATTGTACGGTGTCAAATTGAAATAGTACGAATCAAACTCACTCACATAAGGTGAATATATCCTTACAGATATACCTCCAACAGCTACTTCTTCAATGTTTGCCACAACATCTCCTCTGTCTGACCAACCATCACTGTAATATTAAGATATAAAGAAAATGTTCATTATATACTAAAATATAATGTAAATGAAAGAAAAATTTTAATTTAGAAGATATAAATATTAATGCTTTTATATCTCTTATAATTAGGAATATCATACTTAAAAAATATACTGTATAAAAATCTTAAAAAGATAATTTACAAACTAAATAATGTTATATTTATTTTTTAGAAATAAATTTAAAATATAAGAGCTAATAAAACGTCATTTCATCCAGTCAGAGTTCTTTAGCATTTAATATTAATAATGTTACATTATATATAATAGAAGACAGAAGTATTTNAAAAAGATAATTTACAAACTAAATAATGTTATATTTATTTTTTAGAAATAAATTTAAAATATAAGAGCTAATAAAACGTCATTTCATCCAGTCAGAGTTCTTTAGCATTTAATATTAATAATGTTACATTATATATAATAGAAGACAGAAGTATTTTTATTAATTTAAGAAGAAGTAAAAAAGTCAGTTGTCATTTAATTTCTTCGAACAAAGTGAAACAGAATGTTGGTCAATTTTCCAATCTTCTTTTTCCACAGAGGAATAACATCGTTAAGGATCTAAAGTAATGATGCTATATGTGCTTACTTTGTGACATTTGACCGCAAATAAGAGAAAAATAAAAACGAAAAATGTAACTTCGATAATTTGAGAAACTACTTCATAAAATATAATCTTACTAATATTACAAAAATAGATTAAAAAAATTACTTTTTACTCTTCATTAAATTAATGTAAATGAGTCAGCATGGATTGATTTTACTGACTTCTGTACGTTTTGAAATATAATGATATATACTTATTACTTTATTATTTAAAAAAATTATTCTCGTTAATATAAAAGCGGAATACCGACAATACTATATTTCACATATTTTATAATTTATAACGTTTGTGAAATTGATTTTAAAATATCATTACAACACTACGTCGTAATCTGCAAAACTTACAAAACGTGTTCTATTATGAACGAATATTAATCTAATTTTTAGAAAATAAGAAATGTTAATTACACTATCTGAACACCTGTAGACCTACATTTTAGAAATTTGTTAAATAATAAATTTATATCCGAAGTAAACTGTTGTTCATTTACGTTAATCCAACTACATTCAAAAGATATAATTAATTTATTCCTTATTAATGCTGTAAAGGAAATCTTTAATTAAACTACTCTATGATAATCTTCACAGAATCTATTTAAAATTAAACATGCGATGATTGAAAGTATCTAATAAATTAAATTAAATTTTCTACCGAGCACAGAAAATCCAATTTTTATCTTTCTTAAGTAAACTTATTTCATTTCGTTAAAGATAAATAATTTCTCTTTCGCTATTTGAAAAAAAAAAAAACATTCATATAATTATACATACAAAAATATTCGAAATGTAAAATTAAAATTAAATAAAATTTTTAAAAATAAATTAAATTAGAAAATAATTTCATTTGATGAAAATAACTAATACTTTTATTAAAATTTAATATTTAAACTGCATACGAAGAGTTTAATAAGGAGAAAAATAAATTAAACTAACGAATCATATAGAAATTTAAATAATTGAATAATCGTAAAATAAAGTATGAAAACGTATTAATAATTAAAATTAAGTTTAAAATTAAAAAATAAATAATTTATTTTATTTAAATATGAAAAACAATCTGGGTAGCTTATATAATGAGTAAGTAGCACATTTGAAAATTTGATTAAACTGGACAAGTAAAACTTTTATTAATTAAATAATATTTTTGTTTAATAGTTGAAGAAAGGATAATAACATAAATTTAATGTATTTATAAAGAAATGAATGATTTATTCACCTTCCAATAAATAGAAATTGTCCACTTGCATTTAGCCGTTTGGCTGCACGCAAAATACCTTTGACAGTCATCCCTTCACAAAAGCATATCACAACGTGAGCATTTGGATATTTTTGCAAATTCCGTATAATCGCATCAAAAGCTTTGTCTTCGGCATTACTGAGAACAGAATCCGTTGTTGCAATGCAGATTCCAGCATCCTGAGCAAGTTTAATGAATACCTCTATTCCACTTACGCCATAACTTCCTGTAATATAACGAAATAACTTCATTAAAAATTTTATTAATATCTTAAATTTCTATTTAAATTTAAGATATTTCAATATAACGATATTTTTGTGTATACGTTTAATTATATTTTGTGTTTACTTACGTTGAAACTCAATCGGTTTCTATTGTCTAAATCTATATCTTAATTAAAATTCAAGTAAATTTATGTTTGCAATAGATTAATGTTTGCTATAGTTAATTAGTAGTTGATGAAGTTACTTTATTTGTTATTATAATAGTGGCAATTTAATATTTTGAGTCAAAATAATTAAAATAGACTTATAATTTAATTTCTAATTAATTTCATATTATAACCGTTTTTATATTATAAAAATAATTTAAAAAAAAATAAATCAGTATATTGTTTATTGATTAATTCGCTGATTTCGTTTTTGTATTATAATTAAATTATTAAATTTTTTCCAGGAATAATAAGAATCTTTTCAGGGCTGTGGAGTCGCGTAAAAATCTAACGACTCCAACTCCGACTCCGACTCCGACCAGGGGCGGACTTATTACCGAAAGAGACCCGGAAATTCTGATGTCATAACGTGACTCCAGAATAAAAAATTCAATAAATAGAGTTCTAATAAAGATAGAACGTAGAAACTTTTTTATTCCAAAGCTAAAAGACTCCTCTAAGTAATATATAAATATGTATTCGATAATTTTACTTTTCCGGCTGGTATATATAACAGAGGGAAAGTGTAGCTCTCGGTCAAAAAATGACCCCTCCCAAATTTTTACATTTTTGGACTTAGGACACCTTGAAATTTCGAGATATGCAAAAGATTCGAGGTTTTTTCTATATGTGTGTGGATGTTAGATTGTGTGTGTGTGTGTGTGTGTGTGAGCATGATTTTGTTCACCCTGTTTGAAGCCTAATAATTTCTGTGGTTAGAGTGGTTAGAATCGGAGTCATATGGTTTAACACAGGAGTTAGTTATTAAGCGTCAAAGTGGTTGAACTGAGTCATGTCTCCATTTCCATTCTAACATTTTAGACGAGAACATCTTAACGGGTTTTACTGTACTATTACAAAATGACAAAAAAAGCTTACTTTGAGGGTAGTGACGAGTTTTATTTTATTTTATTTTAAATTTTGTATGCTAATAACGAGTAAAATATTCATTAAGAGATATGACACATGACCACTTTTATGTCTTTACCCTGTCGACCTTTAAAATTAAAATTAAGAACCAAAATTTAATAGTATTAATGCTCCTTTATACGCAAGCTACAGTTCTATATTTCGTTAAACTTTACTAGTGATGTGCCGGATCGTTAAAAATGTATATCCGCGGATACGGATACAGATACGGATCTCAACTTTCGTACTCAGTTGGCGCCAGTGCGTGTGACCTTGGACCGATAGTTGACGCTTTGCGTTAGTAACGCGACGTGTTTTGACTTGCACTACGCGTGTTTTTGTTTATAGTTTAGTGTGACACGGAATAGCGTAGATTACGTTTGTATTTTTGGAGAGTGTTGAGTTAAATTAAAATAAAAATAATGTCGACAAAAAAGTTTAGTAGTGTAATATGAAAATATTTTACGATAGTAAATGAATTTTGCATGATAAAATTTTTGCAATGTGAATGTGCCAAATATGTGATTTTAAGAAATAAAAAGTGATTTGAATTGAAGTTATTAGTATTTTATTGCTACCTATCTTTAAAATTTTATATAAGTAATGAAATTCATTAAGATAAAAGATCCGTTAAAGATCCGCTAAAAAGTAGCGGATACGGATACGAATACGGATCTTTTTTTTCCCTCGGATATCCGCGGATACGGATACGGATATCCGGCACATCACTGAACTTTACCCATTTTGAAATATTGTTTAATATCTCAGAACGGAAAATAAAGAAATTAAACAAATTAGAAGCCAACACACATGCGCGCGAATTTTTCCTTTTTTATTGACTTTTTGAGGAGTTCGGGAGGTCTTCTTTCGTGTAGATTTGAAAAAAAAAAAAAACTTAGAAGGTCAAATTTGACACGATTCCAATACTTTTCCGTTTTATATACATAACAAGTTGGTAAGTAAAAAGGAGTCGGAGTCGGCGGATTTTTTGACGACTCCGACTCCGACTCCGGCTAAAACATCAAAACTCCACGACACCGACTCCGACTCCACAGCCCTGAATCTTTTAAATAACACGCAAACGATTCAGATATTACAAATTTTTTAAAATATAAACATGGCGTTTTCTATTCATAACAATTGTCTGAACTATTCAACAAATACTTCAAGTTTCACAACTAAACTTTGTTCGTGGAAAGGAAAAAAACTATTTTCGAAAACAAGTTTCTTAACTTCATTTCTTTCTCCTTTTATCTATTGTGGTTACTCTTAGAAAATCTTTATCGGAAATCGTTCATACAAAAGGTATTCGACTACAAATGAGTTCGATTTTTCTTTTATTTTTTGAAAGATCTGTGTGAAATGATTCGTGAATGATTTGAAAGTTGTTCAGTATATATAAACATCAAATCTCTCTTTTCACTAGAGGAAAATCGAAAACAACAAAGTTATTTATTTATCAAAATAACAAATATAAAAAAGAAATATTCTTCTAAAAATTGTTTTTCTTTCATTTTTTGCTCTAAAAGACTATTATAGTTTATTTAATTCTATTACATATGAATATAAAATATTTATACAAAAATAATTTAATACAATATGATAATTTAACGAGGTATTTTGTCAAGAAATTTTTGGCTTACAAAATTTCTAAAGACATAATTATCAATTGCAAACTCTATACTTATGAATTGATTAAGTTAATTAAAAAAATAAGTTATATGAAATGATTATATTACAATATCTATTACAAAAATACATTTCTTTTTAGTTTTATAATTTTAAAGTTATTCATTATCCTTAATCATTAAATGCAAAATCATTGCATTACAACAAAAACAGTTAGCCTACTTATCGTAACGGAAAATCAAACCAAATTGTTGCACGCATATTTGATTATTGCTATGTAGCTTATTTAATATATACTTATAAAATTACCACTCATTCTAAAAAACATCTTTTTGCAATTACTCATTGTTTGTTATATTCTATAATTCATATAAAGAATTCGAACAAATCAAAACAATTCTATCAAATAGGATACTGTTTGTTTAGTTTATTATCAAAAGTAACGATTCGTCTCAAAGAGCTTATCGTACTCGAAATGACCAGCTTCTTGAGACGAACAACGACCAACTTCGAGATAAAAGTTGTTATTAACCATTCAGACAACTTTCCAAGCAAATTGTGTACAGTCTGCATACCAAGTATGAAGCAGAGATCATTCGTTACTATTTTCGTCATGTAATTCATTTGCCATGCAATTCTTAATAAAATTGTTTCTACTTTTTCACCAAGCAATCGACAAGAACAGTTTTTCAATCAGATTAAAAAAGTGTTAAAGTTCGATAACGTACAAACTAACTTTTAAATTCATTCTCTATCCAACAAAGTTATCTTATCCGATAGATAGATTGATTAGTTAATGCGAGACACTAGCACATTTAGGCTATATACCGGCCACAATTACATCCATTATGGGCGATTCCATCAGTAATAGGCCGATAAGCTAGAATGTGGGTTAGGGAAAGACGTCCTAATCCATACTACCCATAATAAATTATAGGAGTCTGAATTAGTTTTAAATCCTTTCTCTGTGAAAGTAGACTAGCATCTCACCGTTTGGTCTGGCCGACTTTTATCTAGGGCTGCATTAACATATGGATATAACATGCTATAGCTTTCTTAGAGACTTATCTTACTGCTTATTACTAATATTTTAAGCACTTTACAGCCCAGAGTGTCTCTAAAGTGCTTAAAAGAGCCTTGTTTTAATCACATAGAAAATATCGGTTATTATTTTACATCTAATCAAAGTAATAATATACTTTAATTTTCCATTTATTTTCAATAACTTCGTGAAGAACAAAATCATATATTATAGAATAAACGTTAGAAAGAAAATAAGTAAAGGAGAAAAAAACTCGTTTTAACTTATAAAGTTATGTTTTTATATATTTGCATTGAATAAATTACTAAGCAGAATTCGATTAACAATGTAATAGACCTAAAATAGATTCAAAACAATGAAATATAATATTGTTAATATCATTGCACATGATATTAGACACAAATTAGCAACTTTCCTGTAGGCTTACAATTCTTATTACAATTGTGAACTATCATTTAATAATAAATTTATTAATATGAATTGACTTAGCAATGCATTTAACACGATAATTATAAATATACAAATTGAAATTTCAGCATCGTTGGCTTTAATATTTAAATATAATTAACTGATGAAATATTTAAAACATATTTTATTTAAACGTATTTGCATAAATTTCAAATATCAAATATATGTTCAGCCTACTATAAAATTAAACAAATAGATATCCTTATTCAATTACTAGATAAATATTCAATTCACATAAAATTATTATAACTTTCAATATATGTTAAAGCAAATATAGCACTATCTAATTCAAATTTTATTTCAAATATTTGAGCCTAAAACTTTTGAAAATGAATTAATTGATTTATCAAATCACTAACTCACTAACAAGCCTTGAGGAATCTTGTTTTTAATAGATTAAATGTAAAAAATATATAATCGAATTGGAATTTGTCAATTGGAATAATATTTTGTCAATAATTAAAGTTTGAAAAAAGATGTTATAATTTCAGTTTTTATTTACTTATAATTTTAAAATTTTAATTTAACATCAATTATTAATTATATTTCTAGAAAAGAATTTTAAAGTATTTTATTTTATAAAAGAAACTTAAAGATTTTTTAACACTTACATATAAATTCGCGTTTTTAATAAAAGGGTTATAAAAATGCCTAACCTTACTCAACATCGCATTTACTTTTAGAGAGATTTATAAGTTAAGTAAAGGTAATTTATACACACACTGTAAGTGCAGTCGCTTTCTGATATATCTAGCTGCATTATTTCTTCCTCAATATATAACAAAAGA